AACGAGGAGCTTCCTTGAGTCCATAGATGGATTTCCTTAATTTGCAAACCATATTCTTTGGGTTACCTGACACAAAGTTTTCTGGTTGTACCATATAGATCATTTCATCAATGTTTCTATTGAGAAATACAGTCTTAACATCAATCTGATGTAACTCAAGATTAAGGTGAGCAACAAGTACCATGATTATTCTGAAAGAGTCTTTCGATAAAACTGGAGAGAAAGTCTCTGTATAATCAATGCATTCCTTTTGAGTATAGCCTTTAGCTACAAGACGTGCCTTATACCTCTCCACATTACCATTTGCGTCCCGCTTGGTTTTAAAAATCCATTTACAACCAATTGGTTTTGTACCTTCTGGTAATGGGACAAGTTCCCAAACCTTATTATCTTACATAGACTTGTACTCTTCATTCATGGCATTAATCCACTTCTGAGAGTTAGAACTTTTCATGGCTTGAAGGACGTTAATTGGATTATCTTCCAACATTTTATTATTTTCCTCATGTTCTTGGAGAAATACAATATAATCATCCGGAATAACATTTCTCCTTTCTCTCATGGATTTCCTTAATAGTACTGGTTCTTGAGGTTGTTGAGTTTGTTCTTCTAGAACAGGGAGTTGTTCAACATTATCATCTTGAGGTGGTTCTTGAGGTTGTTGAGTTTGTTCTTCTAGAACAGGGAGTTGTTCAACATTATCATCTTGAGGTTCCGAATTTACTTCTTGAGCAACAACAGGTATAGAGTTGTTCAACATTATCATCTTGAGGTTCCGAATTTACTTCTTGAGCAACAACAGGTATAGGAACCTGAAGATTGTCAAAAGTAACGTATGGATTGGATCTAAAGCCAATTCCTCCTCAAAAGCAATGTTTCTAACCTTATTTCTTCCCCCGAACTCAACATCCTCAAAGAATGTTGTTATTCCCGTCTCAAAAATATTCCTGAGTGTGGGATCATAAAACTTATAGCCCCTAGAGCGTTCAGAATACCTAATAAAATAGTTGCTAACTATTTTGGAGTCCAATTTCTTTTCATTTGACCTATAAAGCCTTGCCTCAGCTGGACATCCCTAAATATGTAAGTGCTTTAAACTGGGCTTTCGACCAGTCCATAGCTCATAAAGTATTTTAGCAATTGCTTTACTTGGTACTCTGTTCAGAATATAAGCTGGTGTCTTTAGTGCTTCTCCCCAGAGTGACTCTGGTAAAGAAGAATGAGTAATCATACTTCTTAACATATCCTTAAGAGTCCTATTTTATTTTTTAGCTACACCATTCATGCTAGGTGAACCCGACATGGTGTACTGTGGGATGATACCGTATTCCTCTAGGTATCTAGCAAATGGTCATGAATGTTATTCAACTGAACCATCATATCTGTCGTAGTACTCACCACCACGATCAGATCTAACAGTTTTAATTCTTTTGTTGAGTTGATTCTCAACTTCAGCTTTAAAAACTTTGAACATGTCCAGAGACTCAGATTTTTCATGAATGAGATATAGGTACCCATAATGTGAGTAATCGTCTATGAATGATATAAAATATTATTGATCATTCCAAGATGCCGTAGGGAATAGCCCACAAATATATGTATGTATCAATTCTAAGACTTCTGAAGATCTATTAGCACATAATCTCTTAACTTTGGTCTGTTTTCCCTTGATACATTCAACACAAACGTCAAAATCCAAAAAATCAAGGGAATCTAAAATGCCATCAGAAACAAGATGCTCAACTCTACCTTTTGAGATATGATCCAAGCGTTTATGCCATAATATCGCCGAATTTTTTTATTTAATTTACGCTTAGTACCACGTGATTCCACATGCAAAGTTTTATTATAAGAAGCAATTGTATCAAGCAAATATAGGTTGTCATAAGTACTCAAGTAACCAGTTCTCATAACATTTGAATTAAAAGATAAAGTGAATTGATTATTTCCAAATGAATAAGAATAACCTGATTTGTCCAATATAGAAACAGAAATCAAATTCCGGCTAAAAGACGGTACTATAAAAGTATCTTTTAAATCCAAATAAGAAAAAAGTTCCTAACAGCAACCTAAAGTGCCCAATTGCTTTCACATCTACCGATTGTCCATTGCCCACAAAGATGTGTCTTTCAACATCACTTGGTTTTTAATAGTTCAGGCAACCCTGCATAGAAACACTTATGTGAGTAGTAGTATCAGAATCTAACCACTAAGTGTTTCTAGGTACTGAAGCTAAATTAACCTCAGAACAGACCAAAGTAAGGAACATACCCTTTTTAGCACGCCAGACGTGATATTTGGTACAATCCTTCTTTACGTGTCCAGTCTTATTATAAAAGAAACAACCATGATCATCCTTATGTCATTTCTTCTGAATTAGACCCTTAGCAGCTTTATTATCATTCTTCCGTTTCTTGCCCTTATCCTTAGAGACATAAGCCAAATGAGCACTTTCAGTCTTATCTTGCTTCAATCTGTCTTCTTCTTGCACACAGTATGAAATGAACTCATTCAGAGTTCATTTCTCCTTTTGATAGTTATAACTGGCCTTAAATTAATTGAATTGTACAGGAAGAGATAACAAAACCAAATGCACCAGTAACTCGTCACATAGGTTGAGTTTGAGTGCCTTAAGTTTTGAAGCAATATAAGACATTTCCATAATGTACTTCCTGATATTTTCTTTGCCTTTATACTTCATTGAAATCAAACGAGCTAACAGCGTGCTTGTTTCTACTTTATTATTTTTAGCAAAACGCTTCTCAATTTCGGCAAGGAAATCTTTAGCCTTAGTAATCCCTTCGGATTCTATGCCCCTGAAGGCTTTCGGTACGCCGCGTTTAATAATCATGAGACTCATACGATTTGAACGTTCTCATTTCTCATACTCCTTCTTTGTATCAGGAGTGTTATCCGCATTAAGAGGTTGGGGTTGTTCAGTTCTTAATGCAAGGTCTAGATCCATGCAGCCAAGAATAATTAATATGTTCTCTTTCCAAACCTTAAAATTTATCTCATTGAGCATGGGAATTGAGTTGATGTTAGCAGAAATTATTACAGCACATGCATTAGCTAAAATAAACAAAATATACTCGCATTATTAACTATAATTAGTAATCAATAAAATTCAAATAATAACAAATCTCATCTCAAGATATCTGGCACAACATTAATATCAAGTCTTTAGATAATAATATTAATTTATAAGTGATACCTTGTTACAATGATCAAACATTGACAATAACTCATGTCAAATAATGAAACTATCTTTGGATTGATTTATTATTCACATGTGAACCTTATAATTGTCACACATTTATCATCACAGATATGTATGCAGTCTAAATAAATATTAACATTCCTTTGGGCCGATTAAATATTTATCCGAAAACATACACACAACCATCTAACATCCCTCATGAATAATTTACATAAGAGAGGTTACTTTGGTAACTTCTTGTTTTAATTAATCATTTGAAATGAGAGACAAATATAATACCTTAGTGTCATATTATTTGAATTAAATAATTGATTAACTACCAATTTTAATTCAAATTAAATAATTTAATTCAAATTAACAAAAAAAATTTCCAAAAACTTAATTAGGGTCTCATAGCTTAATTAATCAAATTAAGCATACCAAAAATGGGCCCAAAACCAAATAGAGTTAAGTGGGTTGTGCCCTAACTCAAATTGCATGCAACCTTCTTCTTTCACCCGACGGAAAAGAAGAACAATAGAACGAACGCGAGGTTCGTTTGAGAATGAACGTGGGGTTCATTTGAAGTGAGCACGAGACTTGCCTGAGGATGAACGCGGGGTTCGACTTGAGAACGAAAGCGAGGTTCATTTGGATTGAGCACAAGGCTCGCCTGAGGATGAACGCGGGGTTCGACTTGAGAACGAACACGAGGTTCGGCTTGAGAACGAATGCAGAGTTCGTTTGGATCGAGCACGATGCTCGCCTGAGAATGAGCGCAGGGTTCGACTTGAGAACGAACGTGGGGTTCGACTTGAGAACAAACGCAGGGTTCGACTTGAGAATGAACGCAGGGTTCATTTGGATCGAGCACGAGGCTCGCCTGAGAATTGAGGTAACTTCCTCCTTTTACCCTAATTTTCCGCTACGTTTTCACGCACGAACCCCTTGAGGTTTTATTCTGAAACCGCCGCCGTCATTGCTCCCGCACCCAAATGTCGAAACCCTAGGGTTTCCTGATGCCACCGTCATCGTCGAAGTCGAGAGCGAGGCCGCCAGCAACACTATGCTGGCGAGGAGCACGAGGATTGACGATCAAATAAAAAAAAAGATCCAAAAATTCCTCGATTTTATTTTAAAACCAGATCCAGAATCGGAAAAAAATGACTTCTTGATCCAGATCCTAAAAAAATCAAAGAAAAAAATCCAAAAAATTTAAAAACTTTACTGTTCATGAAACTTTACTGTTCATCCGTGAACGGTTTTGAGAAAAACCAGAGATTTAAGATCAAAAACCCAATCTTAAAAATTAAACCCCTAAGAATTAATCATGGGTGGCTCTGATATCACTTGTTAGATCTAAATATCTTAGATCTAATCCATAAAACCATGATTAATTCAAAGAGAATAAAAATAACAATGAGCGGAAGCAATACCTGAATCCATTGCACGGATCTGAAATTTGGGTTTTGATGATCTTCTAATCTTAAGGGTTCTCTCTTCTGAAATTCTCTTTAGATGGGGGTGGAGAGAATGAGAGTGTAACCCTAGATTAGGGACCATAACCCCTTATTTATAGTTGTTGTACTTTTATAATTTGGCATCTCATCAAATTATAATTATAACCTGGTATCCGCACATTTAGTCCATGGCATATTTAAATACTCATTGACCTAATTACCTGATTGATCACTTTATGCGTGTCAACTGAAAGATAGCATCACACACTGATATAATTGGGCAATTCTGGAAGTATTCTTTAATTGGGCATGTTATAGGCCTGAACGTAAAATTCAGATCCATGGAAACATTCATCAATAAAGCATGGGGTAAGATAACCATTCCCAAAATTTCTCTGCTCAGACAAGGAGTGTTCTTATTTGATTTTCAGTCTGATCAACAGATGAGAGATGTGTTAGATGCTGGACCTTGGTTTTTTGGCTCAAGGCCTTTGATACTTAAGCCATGGTCTACTGAAATTGATGTAGAGAAAGTTCAAGATCTCTCCTATCCTATGTGGATCCAGCTTCCAAATCTTAAGCTTAATTTGTGGAGTGCTACAGGAATTAGTAAAATCTCTAGCCAAATTAGACGCCCTATTACAACTGACATGCTCACTGCCAATAGGCAGAGATTAAGCTATGCCAGAGTCTTAGTTGAAGTTCAATTACCTTTGAAGGAACCTTTGCCAGACTCAGTAGATCTACTAGGGCCAGATGGGAAAAAATATAATCAGAAGATCATATATGAACTTAAGCCAAGGTGGTGCTCAAATTGCAATATAATTGGCCATGAAACTGAAAGCTGCAGAAGACAAAAATTAAAAAAAATATGGGTGCCTGTCAACAGGAAGGAAAATAATGTAGAAAAGGATATGAATGCATTGTCAGGCCATCATGTATCTGGGGGACAGCAGGTGGCTGATGATAATTTGCCAACAAAACAAATGAATCAGGAGAAAGCTCAAATCAATTCTGGCAATAACAAGATAGACTCTTCTGAAAGGCTGAAACATGCACAAATAGTGTCAGATACTTACTTGAGGATTGACACTGGATATCATGCACTCCCTGAAAATGAATCAACTTCTACAGTAAAACATGCACAGAGAAAGGTGACTGACACTCAAAGTGTTAGGCAGGGAGATTATGGATTAGCAACTCTTCATCAATTTTCCTCCCCTACAATTAATGCTTCAGGATTTACAAGTGTCAGCAAGGCAAATGTTGCTAGAAAAGTAATAGCTAGAACTTCAGGAAATTCAATCCAGGCATCACATTTCTCTCCTCTGGACTCACAGATTCTTGATTTTGATCCCTGTTATGTTGACAGGGGTGGAAGTATATAATGCACTTCTCAATTTGGAACATCAGGGGATTTAATAAGTCCCCCAAGCACTTAATTGTGAAACAACTGATCCATGACTATAAGCTATCCTTCATAGCTTTATTAGAAACTAAGCTTTCTTCAGGAAAAATGGGAAAAATAGCTCAAAAAATTGCTAAGCACCGGGAATGGACTTCTAATGTCCAGGAAGCAGGCAATGGGAGGATTTGGCTTCTTTGGAACAGTGACATCCTCTCTGTTCAATGTATCAAAGTCTCTATCCAATACATAACTTGTTCTGTACTTTCAAGGGATGGTAGGATCTCTTGTTTAATGTCTATAGTCTATGCTCTCAATCAAAGGGAAGATATGAAGGCACTATGGCAGGACCTTCAAAACTTCAAGTCATCAGTAAATTGCCCTTGGTTAACTGGGGGAGATTTCAATGCTATTCTCAGTGATGATGAAAAACTGGGAGGTTCGACAGTCACTGAGGTTGATACTGAAGATTTCCAGAACTTCATATCTTCTAGTCAGCTGACACACATTAAGACTACAGGTTGTTTTTACACTTGGAATAACAAGCAAGGGACTGATACTAGAATATGGAGCAGATTAGATAGAGTATTAGTCAATGAATCATGGATCTTACAATATACCTCAAGCCAAGTAGAATTCTTGCAGCCAGCTTGTTCTGATCATTCACCAGCTCTCTTAACAATTGGAGATGATGTTTTCCAGGGGAAAAAACCTTCTTCAAGATGTGGACAAAACACCCTGATTTTCTAGCTACTGTTAAATCTGTCTGGGATCAGGATATTCAGGGCTACTACATGTATAAGATACATTCAAAGCTCAAGCTTCTCAAGCCAATGTTGAAAGAGTTAAATAAAAGGCACTTCATGAACATTAGTGAACAGGTATTAAGAGCCAAGCAAGAGCTAACTGATACTCAATGTAAATTGAGTACTGACCTTTTCAACTCTTATCTCATATCCAAGGAAAAGGATTGCTTGAAGAAATATTCCACTCTACTACACTGTGAGGAATCTTTTTACAGGCAGAAAACCAACATTAACTGGGCTGTGCATGGAGATAAATCTTCCCAATTCTTTCATGCAATCATTAAAGCTAGAAGGCACCACAACAGGGTTCTATCCCTTTATACTGATAATGGTGACAGAATCTCTGATATGCCTACAATCATTAATGAGCTAACTGAATATTATAAAAAACTTCTTGGATCATCAGGGAATTATTCTGTGCCTGACCCAGCTGTCATTGCAAATGGCCCTATCTTAACTGCAGATCAAAGGAGCATGCTAGCATCTCATGTCACTAAGGAAGAAATAAAAAATGTTGTGTTCACAATGTCAGATGACAAAAGCCCTGGACCTGATGGATTCAGTGCATCTTTTTTCAAATCGGCTTGGAGTATTATTGCAGATGAAGTATGCAAAGCTACAGAGGAATTCTTTCATACTGGTAAACTTCTTGGTGCCTTTAACTCCACCTCAATCACCTTAGTGCCTAAAATCCTCAATCCTAGAACACCAGCTGATTACAGGCCCATCTCATGTTGCAACTGTATATACAAGGTGATCTCTAAAATCATTACTGCAAGAATTCAGAAAGTAATTGGTTACCTGATTGATGATGCACAAAGTGCATTTGTTAAGGGAAGACTTATCTCTAATAATATCCTGTTAGCTCATGAACTCCTCAAACATTATGGTAGAAGGCATGTCTCTCCAAGGGCTGTTCTGAGTGTCGATCTGAGAAAAGCTTTTGACATGATAAGTTGGGGTTTCATCAGGCACATGTTGACAGGTTTGGGATTTCCTACTAATATGATCAATTGGATCATGGAATGCATCTCTACTCCTAGATTCTCCTTATCACTGAATGGCTCCTTGCACGGGTACTTTGAGGGAGCTAGAGGACTTAGGCAAGGTGATCCATTATCTCCCTTCTTATTTGTATTAGGGATGGAGTATCTATCTAGGAAACTGAAGACTCTCAACCCAGATAGAAGATTCAAGCATCATCCAAAATGTGCCAAATTGAATATTACTCACTTGATATTTGCTAATGACCTGCTACTATTTTGTAGAGCTGATCTGGACTCAATAAATAAAATGCACAGCTGTCTTCAAGAATTCAGCAATGTCTCGGGGCTGGAGGCTAACTCTAGCAAAAGCTCAATCCTCATGAGTGGTATTAATGATGACCTGAAGGCACAAATCTGCTCATTCTTAAACTTCTCAGAGGGTTCCTTGCCAATGAGATATCTAGGCATGCCACTGATCTCAAAGAGGCTCTCCTTTCTTGATTGCTCACCTCTGATATCCAAAATCTCAGACCAATTCCAAACTTGGCAGAACAGGAAAAACTTATCATATGCGGGAAGAATTCAACTTATAAAGTCTGTTATACTGGGAATACAAATCTATTGGACAAGCAATTATATCCTTCCGATCAAGGTGCTGGATAGGATTGATAAAATGTGCTCTGCTTTTCTATGGGGGAACAAAATTCATCTAGTCTCCTGGGCTGAGGTCTGTAGAAATAAGGAACTTGGAGGTCTGACTCTACACTGCCAAGTTCTGGAATTACTCTGCAGGTATTAAATTGCTATGGATGATACACGCTAAAAAAGATCTCTTATGGATTAAATGGGTTCATGAGAACTATTTACAAAATCAGGAAATTTGGCAAATTCAATCAAGGAAAAATGACTCTTGGATGTGGAGGCAACTCCTAAAGGTGAGAGATTTGGTGATCAACAGATTTGGTAATGTGGAGAATGTATACAGAGTTCTTGCTACCTGTCTCAAAGATGGCAATATTCAAATTTCATCTATATACAGTATTTTATCCCATCCTTCAGCTACTGTGACCTGGTCGAATACAGTTTGGGGGGGCTTGCACTACCCAAACACTCTTTAATAATGTGGCTTGCTGTTCTCTCGAGATTATTGACCAAGGACAGACTTTGTCGTATGAAGATACTAGATGCTAACCAGAATTGGTGTGTGCTGTGCATAGGCTCTGTCAATCGGCCAGAATCTAAGAAACATCTCTTCTTTGAGTGTCAATTCTCAGGTTTTGTTTGGAATGAAATGATGGAATGGCTTGGCTTTACATGGAGATCATGTGATTGGGATCATGTGATGAACTGGTTTTGTAACAACATGAGGGGCCAAGGGTTCATGAAGAAGATGAAGAGAATGGTACTGTCGGCAACTATATACTGGATATGGAAGGAGAGAAACTCAAGAATTTTTCAGCAAAAATGCCGAAGTCCAGACCAACTGGTGAGAGAGGTGAAGCTTACAGTCCTTATGAAAGTGCTACATGAAGATATCCCAGATCATTTGAGAGAGAAAGTTGAGAGGTTGTAAGTGAGTTTTGGTTTTTTTTCTCATTGTTTGCCAGAATTCTGTCTGGTTTTTGATGTACTCTCATTTCAAAATTTGGAAAATGAATAAAAAATTTTCATTTACCAAAAAAAAAAAAACACACACTGATATAACATATGTACCCACAAATAGATTTAATTAGATTTAAATCCAACACTGATCCCTACTTCTGACTTTTTGTTTGAAAACTCTGGCATTGCGCTCCTTCCACAAACTCTAAACTGTTGAAGAAAGAGCCATTCTCTTTACTCTCTGCTTGAATCCCTTCCCCCTCAATCTGAAACTGTACCAATCCATCATGTTTTTTGTTGCTATGGTTCTTTGAAAATCTTACTAATTCTTACTCAGTTACTTAAAGATAACACTCAAGTTTCAAGAATTTTCCACTTCAATTTAGTGTAATGACCATTTCTAATGTTCTATTATTCATGTGATTATGAAATATTACGGTAAAGAATTTGGATTTGGGATTTTTTTTAATGATTTGTAAAGATTCAAATTTTTTCTTCTTGATTGATCTCATTGAATTTTTATTTTATTTTTTGTCATGGATTTCGACTTAAGTTTCAACAATTTACAAATTTACAAATGTTAGATTTTAAGTTTTTGTTTGATGATACCTAACTGCTCATCCATTTTTCAATTTTTATTATGTGAATATTCTAATACTTTCTGATTACCCTCCTTTTTTCAGTTCGTAATTTTTCACAATCCCAACTACCAAAATAACCATGTATGCGTATTTTTTTATTTTCTATGCAACTATAAAATATTAGATCTTAGAAATTAAATCATTAGGCTAGGTAGCTACTTCATACTATAGAATGTGATGATCCTAGAATTCATAAGGAAGCCTAGAATAAAAGGAAAAAAGTGAGTTATTTAAATAATGATTCTATTGCAGGGGATTGTAGCAATAGAATAAGATTATATATTGTCGAAAAATTATTGCATGAAAAAACAGTGTAATATGGAATATATTCCTATTAGCCCATGTGCAAATATATATGATATATCATGGGAAGCTCGCATGCATCATCTAAGAATCATTAGAAGCCAAAAAAAAATTATCCTTCCTAGTTTAGGAGAGAGAGAAAAAATTAATATACTCAACATAAGCGAAGCAAGAATGAATCGAAGATGTATTCTTATTTGTTTATATTTGATGCTTTACCAAAAATATGATTTGATAAATTTGAATTTCTAAACACAATAATTATTATATCACTAATTTTTGACCAATGTCTTAAAGTAATTTTAAGAAACAATATAACCAATTTGGTCTTATTTTGCACACCATGCATTTTAATGTCTATGACAATTTCAAATTATATATAGTAAATACGGGTTTTTTATAGTGTGCCCATGGGCACTCTATAAGAGAGGAGAGAGATAGAGAAAAATGAATTATGCACAGAAATTAATACAAATCAGGGGGGCCCATGAGCTATTCATTTCTCTCTATCTCTCTCCTCTCTTATAGAGTGCCCATGGGCACTCTATAGAAAAACCGAATAAATAAATGTATTAAAGGGTATAAAACATTATGAGAATTGGAAGATGTATAAGGCCAGGGTATTCGAGATTCTTTTTTCCAGAGAGCCATCAAATTAATGAGGTATAGAACTAATTAAATTACTAGTTAGTAAAAAGACATGGATACAATTGTTAAATCGTATGAGAAAGGTTTTATGTTATGTACTAATTGAAGTTATTTACTGACTTTGTAATGTGAGCCTCAAAAGTCAACAAGACATATTGTATTAAAAAAATCCTCAAATACCCAAAATATGAGACCAATAGGGGGACAAGTGAGGTGTCCCCCTCCTATTAGATAATGAGTTGGTCATCATTAATGATGACCAACTCATTATCCAATAGGAATGAGACACCTTACTTATCCCTCTTATTGGTCTCATATATTTGGGTCCCTGTCGCAAAGCTCTATTGTATTATAAGTAATTTCTGTAATTGAAAAATTATGACAGTTGGATTTATTGCTTTCTCTTTTTCCAAACTAACCATGCATATAACCGCATTAGTGGGGCAAATCTGATCACAGGACAGCGATATGATTATATATATGTTGGAAGACATCTAATCAATATTTGTTAATAATAATTTTATGGAGAATATTATGAATATAGCTTGTGGAAGGGGGAAAAAGGATAAATTGTTGGGTCCATATATTCTCTTGACGAAGAAATTCACCTTTTAAACATTTTTCCACCGCTTTCATAATCAAATACTAAAGTTCACTAAAAAAGAAATCATAAAGAAGCCCGCCTATATATGGGTTGTGAGCTCAAAAAGAGGTGAAGTTTGTTCACTATTCAATACCTACATTACCACAATGGCTCTTTTTTTAATAGTGGATTCAAATTTTAAAAATAATATAAAATAAAAGTAATGGAGTGACCACTGCATTTATGGCACCCATTGAATTGTCTAATAGATAGCTGTTATTTGTTTTTGAATTGTGTAAAGTAGAAATAAGTGCAATTCAGTAGGATAAAATGTATGTTAGATTTATAAAGGCTCATTGATTACCTCCACTAAATAAATCGAGGACTGCGATAAAAATAGTGACATGTCCAATGTACTCTCTTTATCTCCACCTATCTCATCCTTTGGTTTTTGGTTTAGGGGTGTCCATTTTTCCCGTCGGCTCGGGCTCAGCCCGGGCCCAAAAAACCCGGGTCAGCCGTGTTTCGGGCCCGGGTACTGGCTGCCTCGACGGGCTCGGCCCGGCCCGCCCCGCCTGTAAAACGGCCGGACGATATGTCCGGGCCAGCATAATGGTCATTTTGGCTGTTTTGACTGTTTTACCCCTAAAACGGTAAAAACGGTTAAAAATGATGGTATTTTGGTCATTTGTCTAGGAGGCCGCCTCTATAAATAGAGGGGATTTTTATTTATTTACCTCATCCAAAACTCATCTACTTCTCTCTAATACTCTCTTATACACTCTTATACTCTCTAATAATCGTTTTAGCTCTCTAATTCTTCACTAAAATGGCTTCCGGATCTGATTATGAAGAGCACAACCCCAACTCTCTAAATGAGTCATCCTACTACAACTACTCCTACCGATCATACCGATGTTGATCCCGAATGCGGTGGTGGCGATTCTACACCAAGAGCTCCTAAAAGGCCAAGATCCGATGTGTGGAATTTTTTTGAGAAGATAGACGTCATCAAGGATAAACGCGGTAGGATCCTCATCCAGAAGGCTAAGTGTGCATTGTACGGTAAGATTTTCCAACCTCATCATAAGAGCGGCATCAACCACCTCAAATGCTATTTAGATAAACACAACAAAGGCCAGATGCCTCAAGATGATATCCGACAATCTATGATCTCTTAATCCTCATCTTTTGGTGGTCTTGGTAGTTAGAATTATGATGCAGCCCGTACCAGGAAATGCGTCATCAGGTTTATCATTCTTAAAAATCTTCCTTTTAAATTAGTAGAAGATGATGAATTTGAAGATTTATTTATAGATGGTTTTTACCCCGTATTTAAAAAAATTTCTCATCAAACTTGTCAACGTGATATTTTAAAACATTATCAGGAGGAACAAGGAAAAATAATTTCTTATTTTTAAAGTTTAAATTGTAAATTTTTTTAACTTCTGATATTTAAATATCTAAAGCACAAACCGGTTATTTATGTATTACAACACACTGGATTGATAAAAATTGGTAAATATTTAAAAGAGTTATTTCTTTTATTACAATTGAAGAGTCTGTGATCACGTGAGTGGGAGGAACGCGGTTTCAAACCGCATGAAGCACAGGCCCACGAGAAGCTCACTTACCTTAATCACAATGATATATATATATATCTCTTCAATCAAGAGCTAGGGCGTGGCAGAGAGGGCACGGAATTTTTTTGTGCGGCTGATTTTTGAGCACAGGAATAAAAGGAGCGGCTGCGGAAGAGTGCAAAGCAGGGGTTTCTTTTGGCGGCTGCTGCAGACACAGAGAACAAAAGGAGCAGTGCTTTTGGTGGTTATTCACGGAAGAAAAGCAAGTCTTTTGTAGATGTTCTTTGTTTTTAGCACCCCCTTTGAGAGAGTATTTGTGTGAGGGATCTGAGAGTTTGTGAGAGGGTTTTATTTGTGAGATTGTAAACCCCAATTGTATCTCTCCCTCTAATAGTAGATCTCCCCCTCCTTGCCCCGTGGATGTAGGCTATTTGCCGAACCACGTAAAATTTGTGTTCTTGCTATGATTTGTAATAGCTTGTAGGATCCATCGACAGGTCAGTCCTAGAACTGATGAGAGGAAGAGCCGATATCTCACTTTGTTGAGATATCCGCTTCAGATTCTTGTTTCCTTGGTGAGACAGGAATTCTTACGATCTAATCTCTTGTTGTGCACCTTGCGCACCGGAGGTGCTGCCGAAATTTCCGCTGCGCACAACAAGTGGTATCAGAGCTCCGGGTTGGATTTGGGGCTTGTTCGAAGGATTCGCTGAAGGATTCCTATTTGAAGAATTAGATCGACAACATGGGAGAAACAAGCACATCAGGATCGTCTCTTTCGAAGGCGATACAGAGTCTGAGCATCAATAACACGAAGATTGATGTTCCGAAGTTCGACGGCAAGATTAATTTCGGATTGCGGAGGTGTCATGTGATGGACGCCTTGAATGCACAAAATTTGGATGAGACTCTTGAGTTACAAGAGAAACCCGCTGATATGGAGGACAAGGTTTGGAAGAAAATAAATAGTAGGGCTTGTGGAGTAATTCGGTCATGCTTGAAACCGGATCTTATTTATGACGTAATGAACGAGACGTCGGCGAAGAGAATGTGGGAAACACTCAATGAGAAGTATCTGACGAAGAGCATTGAGAATCGGCTTCACTTGAAGAAGAGGTTTTACCAATTCAAGATGAAGAGGGGAGATTGGTGAACTATGAGTTGAGGAAGAGTGATAGTGAACCCTCCGAGAAGGCATCGGGAGATGCATTAG